TATAGGGCCAATGCACAAAGTCTCATTTATAGCCATTCTCCCTGAATACTGGCAGAGGGAGAACAGAGCAGACTAGAGTCATGTGAGGAGAGATGGAGGTTTCTGGCTCTGGGGAGATAGTTGAGGGGACAGCTGCCAGGATGCCTGAGCTGAGTTCTTCTCCCATGTCACAGATGCCATCCTTCTTGGGTGGGACACTCTCCTCTCTATGGCAACAGCCTGAGGGAATGTAACAGCCTCACCCTCTGAGCTCCTTGTTGCCCCACCCTGCAGAGCTTGCGCCCTGTTGAGGAGTCAGCTGCTTGGGCCAGGGAGTAGAGGTCTGGGCAGACTTGGGATATCAGTGACTGAGTTGTATGGCTCTGGGATGGAAGCTCCTCCCCCCACCTTCCCATGAACCTGACTTGTGCTCCCGCCATGAAAAATCCACTAACCCTTCTCCTCAGGCTCCTGGATGCTTCACCCTGCTGAAGTCTGGGCAGGATCTAGGACAAAGTTGTGTAGCCCTGGGGCAAGGACCACTCCCCCCACCTTCCCCAAAGCCTGACCAGCACTGACCCCTCATGGAATATCCACTAGCCCCACCCTCTCAACTGCCCATGGCCCCATCATGCTGAGCTTAGACTCTGAGAAGAATCTAGGACAGGCTGAATTGTGTGGCTCTAGGACATTTTTCCTGCCCACTCCTGACCAATGCAGAGCTCTCCCTCCATACAGCCAAATCTTGGTTTGTTGGAGCCTGATAAATTCTACTGACCTCACCCTGACAACTCCCTAGGACCCCACCACACCACAGAGGTGTGTGAGCACCCAGAAGATGGCAATTGGACTTTATATACACTGGAACATTTGCTGAGTGGACTCAGCCTCAACAATGGCACTGAGTTTGAACCTGTATTGATCTAGTTAACAACACTTTCCCCTACCTGGTAACTCACTGAAAACCTACCTCATGTAACTCAAGTGCCTCCAGCAGCTCTTTCAGTGACTGAGCTTAACAGGCAGCTGGCAGGTGGAGGCAGGCAGAGGCAGATCTTGGGGTTCCTTGAGAACTTTGCTGACTTGCCTCCAGGCCCAGTGCTGGTAAAGGCCACCTCTGGTCCACAGCTTGGTCCTTCCCACATATACCCAGGCTCAGCAGGAGCAGCCACAAACAGTGGATCACCCTGTAGCTCCAAAGAGGTCCAGGACCAGTGAAAAGCAGGGACTAACTTTGATCTGCACCAGGGTCCCTCCCAAGAGTCCTCAGAACCAACACTCCCAGAGACCAGCTTCAGACAACATCAGAGCAGGATCCAATTAGCTTCATAAGTGGCATATCCAAAGGGAGATCTTGTCAGGCACCAGACCCTTCTGAGGCAAATTCCACACTGTGTGGACAGCACCTGCACAGAAGCTCATACACTGTAGTCAAGGTTGACCCTCAAAGTCAGCATGGGGTTGACCCCATGCATGAGTGGGCCAATAGCAATCAAGACTCAATCACAATAGGAGGACCCACATGACCCACACAGGGGACATTCTTAGAGCACTCAACTTAGGTGATCAAGGACACTGCACCATGGGTCAGTCCTACAGGACACCTCCTGCATAAGGTTACCCTACCAAGACTGGGAATCATAGCAGATCTACCCAATACATAGAAACAAATACAAAGAGGCAGCCAAAATTGGGAGACAAAGAAACAGGCCCTAAATGAAAACACATACACACACAATGAGAAATCTCCAGAAAAAGAGCTAAACAAAATTGAGACTAGCAATTTATCAGGTACAGAGTACAAAAAAATGGTTATAAGAATGCTTAAGGAACTTCATGAGAACTACAATAGTATAAAAAAAAACAGAAATCATAAAAAACAAATGAAGAATAAATATTACATCTAAAATGAAGAATATACTGGAGGGAATGAAGAGTAGGTTGGGTGAAACAGAGAATCAAATCAGTAATTTAGAAGACAAGGTAGCAGAAAACACTTGCTCAGAGAAGCAAAAAGAAAGAAATTAAAATGAGAGTTTAACAGACCTTTGGGACCAGATGAAATGTACTAACATCCATATCATAGGGGTACCAATAGGAGAAGAGGGAGAGCAAGGGAGTGAGAATGTATTTGAAGAAATAATGACTGAAAACTTCCCTAACCTGGTGAAGGAAAAAAACACACAGGTCAAGGAAGAACAGAAAATCCCAAACAAGATGAACCCAAAGAGGCCCATACCAGGACATATCATAATTAAAATGCAAAAGGTTAAAGGCAAAGAGAGAATCTTAAAAGCAGCAAGAGAAAGACAGTTATCTACAAGGGCCCTCCTGTAAGACTATTAGCCAATTTTTCAACAGAAACTGTGCAGGCCAGAAGGGATTGGCATGAAATATTGAAAGTGATGAAAACTGAGGACCTATAACCAACACTATTTTACCCAGCAAGGCTATCATTTAAAATTGAAGGAGAAAAAAAAGAACTTCCCAGAGAAGTTCTGGGAAAAAGCTAATGGAGTTCATTACCACCAAACCAATATTACAAGGAATGTTAAAGGGTCTTTTTAAGAAGGAGGAAGAGAAGAAAAGAGAGCAACATAGTTAAAAGAATAAAATGGCTATAAATATGTACCTATCGATAATCACTTTAAATGTAAATTGCTCAAGTGCTCCAATCAAATGGCATAGGGTAGATGAATGAATAAGAAAACAAGATCCATATATGCGCTGTCTATAAGAGACCCACCACAGAATGAAAAATAGGCACAAACTACAAGTAAAGGGATGGCAAAAGATACTTCATGCAAATGGAAACTTTAAAAAAAGCTGGGGTAGCAATACTTAGATAAAATAGACTTTAAATCAAAGGCTATAACAAGAAACAAAGACATGAGGATAAAGGGAGCAGTCCAGCAAGAGGGTGTAAACATTTATGCACCCAGCATTAAGAAAGCATAAGATCATATAGATTGGTACAGAAAACACATTTGACAAAATGTAACAGCCATTTGTGATAACAAGTGACAGCTATTTGTGATAGACAAATAGGATGAGAGTGGAATTTCCTCGATTTTATAATGAGTATCTATAAAAATCCTATAGATAATATCATACACAGTGGTAAAGGAATGAATGGTTTCCCCTTAATATCAGAAATAAGGCAGGAATATTTGCTCACACCATTCTCATTCAACACAATACTATAAGTTCTAGACAGTACAATCAGGCAAGAAATGAAAATAAAAGACATCTTTTCAGATCAGAAAGGAAGAAATAAAACAACCCCTATTTATAGATGGTATGATTATCTATTTAGAAAATCTCAAGGAATCTACAAAACAAACATCAAACTAACAAGCAAAAATCATTCCTGGAACTAAGAAATGAGTAGAGCAAAGTCACAGGATATAAGGTCAACATACAAAAAATGATTGAATTTCTATATAGTAACAATGAACACCTGAACAGAAAAAATTTTTTTAAATACCCTGTATGATTTCTCAAAAAATAAGAACTGCTTAGTTATACTTCTAACAAAACATATGTATAGCTTGTATGCCTAAAAGTACAAAATGCTAATCCTTAACAAAATACTAGCAAAGCTCAATTCAGCAGCATATTAAAATGATTATACACCATGACTAAGTAGGGTTTTCTGCTGTAATGCAAGGATAGTTCAACAAACAAAAATTGATCAATGTAATACACCACATTAACAGAATGGAGGAGAAAAATACACATGATCATCTCAACTGATACAGAAAAAGCATTTGACAAAAGTCAGAACCATTTTATGATAAAAGAAAGCACTCAGCAAACTAAGAATAGAAGAAAACCACGTCAATATAATAAAAGTCATGTATGAATAGTCCACGACTAATATCATACTCAATGGTGAAAGACTGAAGGTTTTCTTTTATCTGAAACAATACAAAGATGCTTGCTTTCACCACTTCTATTCAACATGGTATTAGAAGTGTTAGCCATAGCAATAATACAAGAAAAAGAAATAAAGAGCATCCAAACTGGAAAGAAGTAAAATGATCTCTCTTCACAGATATGCTCTTATATAGAAAACTCTAAAGATCACACACACACACATACATACACTGGGTAAGAACTAATAAACCAATTCAGCCAGGTTACAGGATACAGATATCAACATTTAGAAATCAGTTGCATCTCTAACAATCAGTTGCAACACTAACAATGAACAATACCAAAAGGAATTTAAAAAAACAATTCCATTTATAGTAGCATCAAAGCCATAATAATAAAATACTTAGGAATAAACTTAAAGGAGGTGAAAGACTTGTACGCTGAAAACTATACAATGTTGCTGAAAAGAAATTAAAAAGGAAAAATAAATGAAAAAAATCTGTTTTCATGGATTAAAAAATAGTAATTTTAAGATGTCAATATTATCTAAAGCAATCTACAGATTCAGTGCTATCCCTTTCCATTACCAAAAATTTTTTTTGCAGAAATAAGGACAAATACTATATGAATCCACTATATGAAGTACCTAGAATAGTCAAATTCACATAGACAGAAAGTAGAATGCAGGATACCAGGGACCTGGAGGAGGGGAGAATGAGGAGTTTTTTAATGGATAGAGTTCCAGTTTTGCAAGATGAAAAAAGTTCTGGAGATGGGTGTTAGTGATAGTTGCAAAGCTAAGGACAGATAGGAAATTGGGAGTGGAAGGAAGTTAGGATCAATTCTGGGTTAAAATAAGTCAGAGAGAAGCACCTAGCAGAAAGCTTTCCCACACACTGCACAACTCTACATAGTGTGTTGTGTAAGGAAGGAATAGCCTCGTCTCCTTGCAAGTATGTTCTCTGTGAATGTCCCCCTCCCAGAGGGCATGGTAGGGCCACTGCCCTGCCTCACTACAAGATTGGGGGTTGCCAAAGTATGGCCATCACAGGAAAGCTTGGATTCTGCAGCCTATTGCAGGCCCAAATAGAAAGGAAAGCATTTCCCTGTCAGTATAGCCTCAGCTTTCAGAAGTGGCTGAGTTCTGGTCTCTTCATTGCCCAGGTGCATTCAGCAGGCTAATAAAAGGTGTCTCATGGTTACCTTCTCCAGCTTTGCCTTCTGTCTCCTTTTGACTTGTTGAGTTTTCGTTTCTTGCAGATGAATTTTCTGTCCTGATATTTGAATATTGGTATGTTTAGGCTTTTCCAATGAGGCATAAAACAGGATACACCTTGGGTCTGGCTGGCTGTCTCCTGTCTCTGTCCCCTGCTGTGCCCTCCACATTTGATCCACCATGATGCCAGCACATGGTCCACCATCACTTCACTGGATTCTCAGCCCCCATGGAGAGAAGCTGGTTCCTCTGACACAGAACATGGGATGGACACCTCAGTGTCCAAACACTCAGAATGAAAAGATCCCCTTCATACTAACCCTTTTCTCCCAGAGCACTCTGAGCTACCAGAAAGATCCAGCTGCCATACCTGTCACCTTGCTTGAGAAGGGAGGCTTTTAAGAAACCTCAAAAAATATTAAGCAGGCTGGACTTAAAAAAAATGAACATTGCAGGCCATTTGGAAGGAAGGTCTGATCTGAACAACTTCCTTGAGGGAACAAAGAAAAGGGCACTAAACTTGACCCCTTCTCCCATTTCCAGTTAAATATAAATAATAGGCCCTTACCTATGGAAGGTGATGATCTCACACCTGGAGCTGGTAGCATGGAGGAGACTGGGCAGGTGAACTATATGCATTAGAGATGGACATCATTCTAGTCTGGTCCATTTTTCATCAGTTTCTTATTGTAAGGAGTGCCCTTAGAAATTGCAAAGCCAATACTTTTTGCTAATGCTGGAAGAATTTCCTTAAACTAAGAGAAGGTGCCACTGCCCATCAATTTTACCAGGCAGCAATGCAGATCCCCAAAGGCTAAAGTCTGAGGCCGAAGGCAGAGCGCTTTATCACAGTGAGAGAACTGGGTTGCTGCTGGGGAAGCTGTTCTGATATCATGCTGCTATTACCGTGCATTAATAAGCTTTGTTCATCTTCTCTGACACTAGAGGTCCAACTTGGTCTTTTAGCTTCAGCTTCTTGCTTATTATGCAGTCTGGGCCACAGATCTAGGCTGCCTACTCGTCATAAATCACTGGCAACCTCCATTTTTTTCTGTTCTTAGTCCTAGTGGATTATGCCCCTGGGAGCCCAAGATCTCAGAGCTCTTCAGTCTCACAAAGGTGCAGTGAGCCCTGATGCTGGCTGAGCACTGCAGAAATTCCAGGATGCACGAGCCACAGGTCCTGCCTTCCTGATCACATTGTGGTGAGGGAGAAGGTCATGTGGATAGATAATTACACCAAGAGGCAGAATGTGTAACAGAGGGGAATGCACGCTGCTATGAGAAGCCAGGAAGGTAAGGAACTTTCAGTGGGAGGAGATCAGGGACAAGAGCCCAATACTGGAAACTAATAGGGGATGTAGCCATTTCAGCTTGGAGTTTGCATTAATCAAAGAGGAGGAGACTGTACATAGAAAGATGATACATGTTATTTATTATACAGCAAAATGACTTTATTTAGGGATGTATAGTTTTATGAATATTAACACATTAATAGAATCCTGTAATTACTATTACGATCAAGATGCAGAACAATTTGACCATCCTACAATAATCCCTTATGGTGTGGCTTTACAATCATCCTTTCCCTCTTCCAATAAACTCTGGTAACCAATTACTTGTTGTCCATCACTATAGCTTTGTCTTTTTGAGAATGTTACATGAATGGAATCATACAATTTGTAATCTTTGGATATTGACTTTATTCATTCACTCAGCATGTCTTCAAGATTCAGCCAAGTTCATGCACTAGTCAGCAGTTACTCTCTTCCATTGCTGAGTAGTATTTCATGGTATGGATTTTTTATCCATTCATCCAGTGAAGGACATTTGGGTTATTTTCAGTTTTTGCTGATTTTGAATAGAGCTGCTATAAATATTCATGTGCAGGTTATTATATTATGTAAACATAAGGTTTTTTTTCTCTAGAGCAAAGTTTCTCAATCTTGGCACTGTTGACATTTTGGGCCAGACACTCCTCTCTTTAATGAGGCTGCTCTGTGCTTTTCAGGGTGTTTTGAGCAGTATCTCAGGCCTCTACTCACTAGATATCCGTCCGTAGAACTCTCCCAGTCACAACAGGCAGAGTGTCTGCAGACGTTGCCGAACACCTGCTGAGGGACGAAACTCATCCACAGTTGAGAACCACTGTTCTAGGGTAAATACCTAGGAATGGATTTTCCAGATCATGTGGTAAATGCATGTTTAACTTTATAGGAAACTTCACATTCTCAGTGTATTAGATCCAGCTGTCAGCATCCTCACCAACGCTTGATGTTACCAGTATTTTTCATTTTTTACCATTCCAATAGGGACATAGGAGTATCTCATTGTGGTTTTAATTTACCCTTCCTAGTGGCTAATGGTATCAAAAATCTTTTCATGTGCTTTTTTGCCATTGGTCTATGTTGTTTAGTGTAGTCTGTTACAATCCTTTGCCCATTTTAAATCTGTGTGAGCCTGGGTGAAGCCAGCAGTTTAGAGTGAAGCCTAGGAGCGGTGTCTGCAGTGAGGGGCTGGTTCGGAGCCCTGTGGAGCCCAGTGGGCTTGGCCTGAGTCAGATGGACTGGACTGAAGGCTGGATGGCCACCTGTCACAGGCGTTAGAGATGGGATTTGTGCTTGCTATCCTCTCTTTGCCTCTTCAGCTCTACTCTCTGCCCTCTCTGAGTCCACCCTGCTCTTGGTCCAGGAAGTTGACCCTTGTAACCTGGATCAGTAGAATCCTTGCCCTCTGGATCTAGTCTGGTTCTGAACAGAAGCTAGGTGAACCTCCAGCTAGAGATTGGAGAGAGGGAGAAGAAGGAGGTAGCGATATCCCTGCCCCTGCCTGCCTTCCTGTGGGATCGCCTTGGGATGTCTGTGTTTCTAGGCTGGAGGCCACAGCTCCCTTTCAGGTGTCCCTGTCTACATAGCTCCCTCTTCCAGGAGCCACTCCCTGTCCTCCTCATTCCAAACCTACAGCCGCACAGCCTCGAGCTCTGGGGCACTGAGCTAGCCCTGTGGCTCTCCTACATCTTTATAAATTAAGTATTAAACTCTTCTTAAATCATCCTAATGTGCATGTGTCATCTGTTTCTTAGTTGAACATTGGCTGACACAAGGTTCTGGATTGAATGAGAAGATGAACTAGATTATTCCTTTAAAAAAAAAGGCTTACTTATACTCCTGTGGCTTTGAGTTTCTTATCACTGACCTTTATCTAGGTACACCGAAGAGGAATGAGGATTAACTCTAGGCACCTAGGAATCCACAATAAGTATTTGTGGAGTGATATGAAGTTCACTTAGAGACATGTGACTCAGTTTGGCCACATAATCTATACAATTTTTTATTTTTATAAGAATTCATGTTTTCAGAATGTACTGCCATAATTTTCCATTGCTTTCACTGTGTCTGTAGAGTCAGCTAACAACTTTATTGCTGTTATGTAAAAGAGCCAAAAGAAGCTTACACCCACCAAACAGCTAGTGCCCAAAACCTGGGCAAGTTCCTAAAAAGGCAATAATTAGTCTGAAATATGTTTCACCGACAAACTGCTAAGCCATACTATGACTTTTTCTGGAATTACTGAAGAGTTGAAATAGCATCTTCATAATGCTGCTCAGGAAAAGAAGAACCTGTATTGTCTACATGACTGCAAACTGCGTGATTTCTGAGTCTGATGACCCATGGAAGACGTAGGGTCTTCTGGTGTGACAGTCATCTCCACGTGACTCTGAACAGGAAGGTGTTGTTGCTCTTGCTTGGGTCGACTTAGAGAGTATCTTCCTTCTACAGAGTCATTATCTTTTAGAGATACACAGGTAAATGTTCATAGATGAAATGATGTGACTGAGCTTTGCTTCACAATAATACATACAGCAAGGAGGGGACAGGTGGGAGTGGAGGTAAGGCAAGACTGGCCCTGAGCAGGTTGCTGTTGAGGCTGGGAAGTGGGGACATGGAGGCACACTGCACTGTTCCTTCTGTTTCTGTATAACTTTGGAATTATGGAATATTAACAGCTAAATGAATAGTTAATTTCAAAGTTACTTGTTAAAAAATGTATAGCATTATTCAAATATCAGAAGTTGGCTTTTGTTTTAAATGTTTAAAATGTTTAAACAAAAAAGATAAATAAGCAGAGAAATTACTGCTTTCAATTCAAACACTACTTTATAGGTTTAATTAATGTATGCCGAATAAACATTTCTCTTCAGAGATTTCAAGATCACTGCATACATGTTGAGTGAAATGGGACAAAGAAGAAAGACACTATTGAAAATCACAATGATGATGCTTATTTAACAAAGTAATTTTAAAGAAAATTTTTTACTGAAAAACATAAGAATCATATCCAAGTTTTAGCTTTCCCATCTTCTTTGGTATTGAAATCAACATTCAGAATATAAAATATTTTACTTTGAAGTTTAGTCCTTGGGTCCACAACAGTTTTCCATATAAAGAAAATAGAACAATCAAATTAGCTGTAATTATCTTATTTGTTGAATAACCAGTGGATATGTAAAAGCCATCAGTAATGTGTGCAGAGACCGACGTCATCAGGCGAATAGTCATTCATAGAGACGTGCGTTTTCCTGGAAACATGGTTTCAGCTCTAAGGGACTGCCTGCCGTCCTTGTGCTGTGGTATCTGAATAGCTCTCCGACATGCAGGTGCCGTTACTCACTTGCTGAAGTGCTGCTGTCCTGGGGCGTGGACACCACCGTGCCAGGATTTAGCAGCTCTTATTGTTCAGCATGACTACACCATTTTTATAAACTCTGCATTTCTCAGAGAATTGTGTGCTTTAGTCTTTTTATAAAATAGTATCTGAGGATTGCTAATAGCACTACATTAATATTTAAAAAAATTAAAAAACCAGAGTTACTTGTTGATACAGAAAAACTCCTGTATTACTGCTCGAGGCCACTGATGTCATGGAGGAGTTCCGACGCAGGTTTCAGAAGTGCAACAGGAAAACCATCCTGAACGAAATGTGGAGTGAGTGATGCTATTTTTATGAAAGTCTATGCGAGTTTAATCAAAACACTCTCAAATGCTTGCTCTCCTTCTCAACTATTGAAACTATAAATGAACATTCTGAATAGTTTCATCTTTAACTGAGAAGGAAAACAAACAGAAATATTAATTTGTTTTAACTTATCTTGTAAGTGGACTTTGCTTCTAAAAAACCTGGGATGGGGGAGAACTAAGTGAGTTTATAGATGAAACGAGACTGGCCATGAGTTAATATTTGTTGAATTGGGGATGGTGATGTGACAGTTGGTTATGCTATTCTTTCTACTTTACTTTTTCCATAGAATGGTTTTAAAAAATAAAACTTATTCTGCACGTTCAAAATGTGACCACTTCAATTAAGAATGTATCAACTTCTATGATTGTATGAATGTAACAATATACTATTTCTCTTTCCCCTCCTTAGATTCTGCATTTTCTAATATGCTGCTGTTTGTTCGACTTTCTCCTCTTCTCCCACCCTTACTATAGCCTGTTGTATGGAACCAAGCTGGTGTTCCAGGAGTGAGCCTGGCACCTAGAATGTAAACATTTGACTTCCACAGCGGGCACAAGGTTTAGGAGTCAGGTAAGCGTCCCTGGTGTGCCAAAGAAGCCCTTTGTGGATCAGCTGTCAGCTCTCTGCTTTCTTAGAAAACAGCCCTGCCAATCTTTTATCAGTTTCTACTCATGGGTTCTTGTGCCTCTGGGACTGCATATATGTGTTTTCATTGCCTACCATGATCATGTTACACTTCAGAGTTTAAGTGACAAGGAAATGATTCACTGTGCGTGAACTTTCTGACATGAGGAGAGGAGGGAATCAAAAATGTTTTCCTTGTCTTGGCCGGAAAAAAATGTATTAAGTGAGTTTCATTTTCCGACTTCTTACCAAAACCTATTAACTCATTCTTCATCATCAGAAAAAAATGCCGATGGTATTTTTATGTCAGTGGTAGTAACAGGAGCTCAGTGTGACAAAAGAGCTCCTGACAATGAGGGTAGATCCAGTGAGTCACCACACAAAATGCCGCTCTAAAAGGAGAAGACTATAACATGGCACAGTCATCTGTAAGGTGCTTTCTGAGGGCCTCTTCTCTCCCAGGCTCTGTTAGGGGCTGACACACAAACAGGTGTATTCAAGGGCGTTCATTATATCTGGGGGCACAAAGCTGACTTTAAAATACACAAATAGCCTTGCCTGGGGTGGCTCAGTGGATTGAGCATGGGCTGCAAACCAAAGGGTTGCCGGTTCAGTTCCCAGTCAGGGCACATGCCTGGGTTGTGGGCCAGGTCCCAAGTAGGGGGTACACAAGAGGCAACTACATATTGATGTTTCTTTCCCTTTCTTTCTCCCTCCTGTCCTCTCAATCTAAAAATAAATAAAATCTTTTTTAAAATCACAAATATGTGGGAGCAGATGCTTTCTGATGAACTGGGCTACAAAAATTAGCTCATAGGACAGACATCACTTAGGAGTGAATGTCATTCTTGTGCTAGACCTTGAAGAGGGGACAGTTCAATATGGAGGTGGTGGTTCAATTGAGGAGGAGGTAGTGCAGCTGAGCCTTCTGGCAGGGTTGATAATATGAGCAAAATCATAGAAATGGGAGTGCATAGGACAGACACGTGAGAAGCTGAAGTGTGTCAAGTGATAGAAAAACCTGCAGACATCCACAGGAGCCAGACGACCATGCACCCTGAATAATCTTGCAGAATCTTTCTCCTCTTCAGGAGAACAGAGATTATGAAGAAAAGTAGATATAAAGATGTCCCAGTTATCTATGCCAGGTAACAAATGACCCCTTAAACCTAGTAGCTTAAATAATAACCATTGATTATTTCTCATGATTCTGCAGTCTGGACAAGGCTCAGCCAGATGGCTTTTTTGCTCCATGGGGTGCCTGCAGGGGCTACGTGCTGAGGAGGGTTCTCCACTCTCCTGGCTGTCACCTTGGCATGAACTGCTGAGGCTGCTGGGCCACTGTCTCTCTATGTGGCCTAGTGTGGACTTCACAGCATGGTAGGCTCATGGTGGCTGAATGTCTTTCCTGATGGCTGGCTTCAAAAGAGAAAGTGGGATGTGCCAGTCATCCCAGAGGCCAGTCCCAAAACTAATATAAATTACTTCAGCTGCATTCTGTTGGCCAGAGGAAATCACAAGGCTAGTGCAGACCTCAGGCTGGGAAAAGACCTCACCTCTCAATGTGGAGAGTAGCATGCACATCCAGGGAAGAAAAGAATTGCTGGCAGTGATCTTTGGAGACTATACTCCACAAAGAAAATGCCCACTTTGGAAGAGGAAATGAGAATAATTTTTAATATAAAAAAACCCCTGAATGTCCAGTAAAAAAAACAACTTTCACATAGGCATTGACATGCTTTTGTATTCTTATAGTGCCACCTGCTTTCTGCACTTTTCATTTACTGGGTCCTCACAGCAGCCTGGGAGGTAAGGAGGGAGCAGCCATCCACTGGGGAGAAAGCTGTATCTGTGGGGCTAGACCTGGGTTGCTTGGGTCTATGAGATGCCTCAAGGACTTCTGCAGATCTCTGCTTCCAGCTGTGAGCATTCCCCCTCCTCTGGGCTTTCTTGCAGTTCCCAAAGGGAGAGGGTAGTGAAGCTGACACAAATGCTCCTTTCTCACTTTTAGCACTCTCCTTTGCAGGATTCTCAGGTTTCAGGAATATTATTAGCAGCTTCTCTTCAGTAAAATGTCTAGGACCATCAGTCCAGTGGAAGTGCTAAATAGAAGTGTGCTTGTGGAGGAGCAAAAAGGGACTGGGGTGACCAGTGTTACTAAAACGAATCCGGATGCTTCCACATGATAGTGCTTCAATTTTCTGACCCTTTGTTTAGGTGCATCTAATGTACTGGTTAATTTGCCCCATACATTTTTATTCCTAGTTGTTAGGATTTATATTTTTTTAAATATCTTTTATCATTCATCACACTTGTTAGTTTCCTGTTCCCCAAAGATATAGTCAGTTTTATCTTTTATTTCTTTATGCACTGAAGCATAGTTGTTTTATAGTCTGTAGCCAATAATTCCAATATTTTAAGTCTTTACAGATTTATTTTTGTCTGTTGCTTCTGCTATGTGTCTAGTTATCTTTTAATGTGTGCTAGTAATTGTTATTGAAAAATAATTTGTAAGATTTATACGAAGGCCAAATTGAAGGTACTTTTCCCTGGTAAGGCACTGGAAAGTACTCTCGGTTTGAGATCCACCTTAACCAAACTCAAGGCATGAGGTTTCCTGGAAGGCCAGAGGGTTCAAATAAGGGCACTGATTTCTTTACCCTCCCCCACAGTTATAGCTCTTTGCCATTGAACTTATTGTCTATTAAACTTCTTGCCTAATGCTGGCCCTGATTTTGACTATCTTCACTCTCTCCCTCTCCCCAATCACCATGAGGCTGTCAAAGTGAAAATTCAGATTTGCTGGAAATGGTAAATACCTTCGTGGCAAAAGCAATCTTCTTGTTTATATGTCTTGGTTCCCATTTTTCTGTAACTTGACATTGTTGTTTTGTCAGATCACTGATGTTTTGAAGACATTTTGAAAAATATAGCCCTCTAGTATCAAAAACAGAGAGTTCCTTCACTGTAAACCCCCTTAGCCCTACAACAACCCTTTGGGTGATTTTCACCACCCTTACATATGGATGGGGAAAGTAAGACCCTGTGTGACAAGTAATTCACCCAAAGGAACACAGCTAGCAAAAGCCCATACCTCTCTGATGTGAAACATGTTCACTTACTTTATTTGGATACAAAACATGCATCAGACAGCAAATAACAAGCATACCCAGCACCCGGTTCTTGGTTTCTCATACCATTTTCCAACAAAAGGAACCAGGGTCCTTGGAGAAATGGCTGATTCTAGGGCTGAAACATCTTCTAGAGCCAGGAAGTCAGTAAGTGCTCAAAACAGCAAACAGATACACACAGTTATGGGTCATGTCACAGGGGCCCTGGAAGAACCTAACTGAAAGAGCTCCAATAGCCAAAGCCAGAACAGTTTGAGCAACAAAATAAATAGCATAGTACTGGATTATAACCCAAAGTATAAAATAATTAAACACAAGTCCATTATGATATAAATAAATGATTAAACAGGCAAATAAGTGGGATAAAAGAAACAAGTCTTCCTTACAGAAGAATTCCAAGCGGTATACGTAACTATTCCCCCTTTTAGGAGGTCAAGCTTAACTCTCCTTCCCTTGAGTGTGGGTTGGACTTAGTGACTTTCTTTTCTTTTAAATAATGAAGAATGGGAAGAGAAACAGTTACTTTGCAGTGTAGAAACCTGGTAGGTCCCACCTTAGCCAAATGGTTAAGGTTACTGTCATCAGTGATAAGTCATGTTGATCTGATGTGATCTGATGAAAAGAGCACTTCACTAGTCCAATCTAAGCATGAGAAAAACTGTCAGACAAAACCAAATGGTGGGATGGGACTCCACACAACAGTTGGCCTCAAAATGTCAACCAATGAAAGACAAGGAGAGACTGAGAGACCATCATAAAGCAGTAGAGACCAAGGAGACGTGATGACTAAAGGCAATGTGGTGTCCTGGCTTGAGTCCTAGAACAGGAGAAGGACATTGGTAGATAAACTGGGGAAATCTGAATAAAACCTGCAGTTTGTTGACACAAATGGGCCGGTATAGCCCTCTTAGTTTTTACAATGGACCATAGTTATGGGAAGTGTTAACATTAGGAGAAACTGGGAGAAAGGCAAAGGGGACTCTCTGCTGAAACTTTTTGGTAAATCTAAAAGTAAATCTTTTGTAAATCTATTAAATAAAAATTTTATTTAAAAAGTCAGAATCAAGGAGTAGCAATCAACCTGAAGTAATTCTAGATAATAACATGTTTCAGAATACCCAGGAGTAATGCTGAAGCTCCAGTCTAATGATAATTAGCCCTTTGCGTATTTACACTTTAAAAAATCGCATTTTGTTCTCATAAAGATCTTCAGGATAAGTAAGACTGAGTAATCTCCATGAGTAAAACTAAGAAACAGGGAAGTTATATGACTACCCAGGATTCCAGCTGAGCCAGAACCCCAAACTCCTAACCGCAGACAAATCAAGCAGGAGGCGCCATGCATCTGCAGCCCCGCTTGTCTGCATGGGGCGCCAGAGCACTGAAGACCAGGGTTCCAAACCCTCACTGAGGCCTGCCTGACATCCCACTGTGGGTAGGTCCTCCAGAAGCTGCATGAGTGCTCAGGGGTCCGTCCAACTGTGGCCCATGGGAGGGGAGTTGAGCTGGATTTTGTTTTCTTTTTAAATTCAAGCCAATCTCCTACAGCCAGCCCTTCTTGGCTGTGATACCTAACTCTTTTCTTTTGTCTGAACTTCAGTGTTGACAGAGCAGGTCCACACAATTGCCCTGTGCAAGCACCACATACACCCTTGAGTGTGCATCGCTGTTAACCCACGCTGTCAAGTGGGAAGCTGCTGATTTAGTGAATGGTGAAGGTGAGGCTCCTGGGCTTTGGTTCACCTCTGGTCTCCTGTATTCTTCTGAGACACTGGGTGAGCTGACTCCACCTTCGTTTTAAGGCCTTGGCTCAAA